ACTTTTGAAGTATTCTCTCCCTCAAGTGCTTGCCAACGACAAAGATAAAGGGCAAGGCCCTGGGGACAGAGTTCAAGGACTCCTGTCCCCGAAGCAAACACAGGAGCAAGCCTCCTGCTAGGGTAAGGCCCTGGGGACAGAGTTCAAGGACTCCTGTCCCCGAAGCAAACACAGAGCAAGCCTCCTGCAAGTGGAAGGCCCTGGGGGCAGAGTTCAAGGACTCCTGTCCCCGAAGCATACACAGGAGCAAGCCTCCTACAAGGGCAAGGCCTTGGGGACAGAGTTCANCTGCTGCTGTTGTGGAGGAGCAAGGGGTAACCCGCGGCCTCTCCCGCTTTGCTGCTGAGCGGAAGGTGCCCTGGATCCCCCGCCGAGGCCATCGTGCCGATGTTTGACCCTTCTCTCCTCCTCTACCTGAGGATCCTGGNACCCGCCGAGACTTGCACCGGCGTTGGGACCTCCTCCTTGGCAGCAATCTCTGCCTCGGCCCGTGCCATCTCTACCGAGGGCACGTACTTATGCATTTGGAAGAGCGGGGAGTCCGTCGGGATTCCAGCAGACTGGAGCGCCTCGTCCCACCCTTTCTTGAAGAACTCCTTGCTGTTTTCCTCAAGAGCAGGGAGCACGTCATCGGCGAACTCTTCCCGAAGTTGCTCTTCCGATTTTCTGTTAAGTGCCTCGGCTCTGATCCTGTCCAGCTCCTGGGTGAGAGCCAGACAGCTTTCCTCTGAGCCTATCACCCTCTCCTCCGCAGCAGAAAGACGCCGCGTCTGCTCGGTTATCCTCCCCTCAGCATCGGCAAGGGCAACACTTAGCTTTTCAGCGCCAACCTTAGCCGACTCAGCATCCTTGAGGAGTTGCTCGATTTGAGCAGCCTGCCCCGCCAGGATAGAGTCCCTGGCAGCTACATCCTCCATTGCTCGGGCGAGGGCCCCCTCCGCCTCCCCCTTCTGCTCTCGGGCCCTCTGGAGGTCCATCCTAGACCCGTGGTACTGGGCAGCTATTATGGATATCTGCTGGGTAGCCTGCAAAGGAGGGAAAAAGGTGTCACAAAAATGGAAAGCAAGAGAGAAGAAACCAAGGCAGAAATAAACTTACCACCAGGGAATTCTGGATGATGGAGCGGAACAACACGTTCGTTGAACGCCCCCTGTGAGCCGCCATGTCAGCCTCGAAATGCAGTGTCTCACTCACTGCATTGGCGACATGAGGATCCAGCAAAATGGAATCATCGACCATGATCACTCGGTTCATGTGATCAGTGGCTCNCCTGGGGGCAGAGTTCAAGGACTCCTGTCCCCGAAGCAGACACAAGAGCATGCCTCTTGAATGNTCTCTCCTCCTCTACCTGAGGATCCTGGTCACGCACTTGACCCCGGCTGAAAACTCTTGAGGATGAGGTGGAATTGGTCCCTGCGGAGGGGGCGCCATCGGTCGATCCTCGACCCCTCCCGGCTGCAAGGGCTTGCCTCTGCCTCAGGAAACCCAGATCAGTGCGAGGGGTGCTGGACATCGCTACCTCGAGGGCGTCCTCGGCGTCTAAANTCAAGAAGAAGGGGCTTTGCGTCCTCCAAGGCTACAAAAGAAAATAAAAGGGGTACAATCAAAAAGAAAAGAGGCTATCATCTGGCTCTAGGCATCTCCAGAACAACAGCCGAGGGCGAGTCAGCAAAAAATGATTGAGAAGCTTCTGGAGCAGGCAGGAGAGGTACTTCGGCAACAGGGGGACCTTGGGCAACTTGAGGATCAGGAGCATGGTCCGACGGGGCGTCCTCGGACAAATCCACTATCACTGCCTCGGGGGGACCCGCCGAGACTTGCACCGGCGTTGGGACCTCCTCCTTGGCAGCAATCTCTGCCTCGGCCCGTGCCATCTCTACCGAGGGCACGTACTTATGCATTTGGAAGAGCGGGGAGTCCGTCGGGATTCCAGCAGACTGGAGCGCCTCGTCCCACCCTTTCTTGAAGAACTCCTTGCTGTTTTCCTCAAGAGCAGGGAGCACGTCATCGGCGAACTCTTCCCGAAGTTGCTCTTCCGATTTTCTGTTAAGTGCCTCGGCTCTGATCCTGTCCAGCTCCTGGGTGAGAGCCAGACAGCTTTCCTCTGAGCCTATCACCCTCTCCTCCGCAGCAGAAAGACGCCGCGTCTGCTCGGTTATCCTCCCCTCAGCATCGGCAAGGGCAACACTTAGCTTTTCAGCGCCAACCTTAGCCGACTCAGCATCCTTGAGGAGTTGCTCGATTTGAGCAGCCTGCCCCGCCAGGATAGAGTCCCTGGCAGCTACATCCTCCATTGCTCGGGCGAGGGCCCCCTCCGCCTCCCCCTTCTGCTCTCGGGCCCTCTGGAGGTCCATCCTAGACCCGTGGTACTGGGCAGCTATTATGGATATCTGCTGGGTAGCCTGCAAAGGAGGGAAAAAGGTGTCACAAAAATGGAAAGCAAGAGAGAAGAAACCAAGGCAGAAATAAACTTACCACCAGGGAATTCTGGATGATGGAGCGGAACAACACGTTCGTTGAACGCCCCCTGTGAGCCGCCATGTCAGCCTCGAAATGCAGTGTCTCACTCACTGCATTGGCGACATGAGGATCCAGCAAAATGGAATCATCGACCATGATCACTCGGTTCATGTGATCAGTGGCTCGGGGATTCCACTCCGCGGCCTCCACTGTAGGCGAAAGGGAAGGGGGAGTCTGCTGCTGCTGTTGTTGCTGTCGTCGTGGCTGTTGCTGCTGCTGCTGTTGTGGAGGAGCAAGGGGTAACCCGCGGCCTCTCCCGCTTTGCTGCTGAGCGGAAGGTGCCCTGGATCCCCCGCCGAGGCCATCGTGCCGATGTTTGACCCTTCTCTCCTCCTCTACCTGAGGATCCTGGTCACGCACTTGACCCCGGCTGAAAACTCTTGAGGATGAGGTGGAATTGGTCCCTGCGGAGGGGGCGCCATCGGTCGATCCTCGACCCCTCCCGGCTGCAAGGGCTTGCCTCTGCCTCAGGAAACCCAGATCAGTGCGAGGGGTGCTGGACATCGCTACCTCGAGGGCGTCCTCGGCGTCTAAAGATTGAAGAACTTGGAAGTCTGGCCACAAGTCTCCTCCCGAAGTCCCCACCTCGGCGTCCGAAGGAACAACGACCTCTCTGACCCTGAGCTCTTCAGCAACTCCCTCTACCTCTGCCTCCGAAGCCCGATCCGGGTCTTCCTCCAAGTTTTCCTCAACCTCTAGCCTCGCCGCCTGATCGAAGAGTTCAGACCACCGCGAAGGCTCAAAAGGCTGAGGAAGCTGTGAAAATTTCTTATACCCGGGGGTATAATTCAGCAGGATGTGACCAGCACGGCCAAACCCGTTGTCACCCGTGAATCTCCAAACCGTGATTAGGTCGGCAAAGTTTACCAGCGACCGAGGGGGAGGAGCTGTTTTCCGAGCAGGAATATCTGCACAAACAAAATAGTCATGAACATGGGAAGTCTGGAGAAAGAAATAATAAACCCAAAGGAACCGACGTACTTGTCGTTCTGCATTCCAGAGGGCATAACAAGTCATTATACTCGGGACCAACACCTCTCTGCCAAGATCCCTTGAAGATAAGAATATCATCCTTGTACCCCTTGTCCGAGTCGGGAAGATGAGTTACAAGGTACATGGAGGGGTCCCTGGCTTTGAGGTAGAAGTGTTGGTGAGGCATGACTCTCAGGAGGGAATAACAAAAAAGGAGATCGTTGAACCCAATATTTACCCCGAGGCGCCTATTGAGCTCTAAGACCCCCATAATTATTCGGAAAACATTAAGGCAACATTGCCCGGGGAAGAGGCGAAAGTGAGAAAGGAACTGAAGAAGTAAGGGGGGTAAAGGAAACCTAATTCCTCCCTCTATTATGGCCTTGGTATAAAAGGGCATGGCATCCTCGGCCCCGAGGGTAGAAGAGTGCAACACAGGGTCATAATCCTCTACGTCTACGCACGGGGGAATGCCGTACTTGACCTTAAACCTATCAATCTGCTCATCACCCTTTACTTTATATTTCCCCGACCCCGAAGGACCAGCCTGAGGATTCTCGGGAGCAGGGCGACGACGAGACATCTCTAAAAAAGTAAGAAAGAAGAGGGTATTTGTTCTTGAAAATCCCTGAGGAAGTTTCCCGAGGGTTAAATCACTATGTATCAAACCGGAGACACCTCCAGTTATCGAAAAACAAAAGGATAGGAGGAAGAAAAGAAGGAGGATTCTGAAACTCACCCGAATGTCAAAACGAAGTTTTTTCTGGAAAACCTTAAAGCGACTCCTTCCAGAAAGTTCAGAAGCAACGATGGGTCTACTGGCTTTAAGACTTTAAGGAAGAATGGGCAATCGACGATGGAAGAAGAAACAAATCTCCGGCGAAGATTCAAGAAGAGGCTCTCTTGAGGAAGTTCGGAATGGCAAAACAAGGAAACCGGAAGAGAAGCTCCCTTTATATAGAGGCAATTTTCATCATTGGTCGCGAAAAACGAAATGGCGCATTTAATGCGCACGACATCCCAAGCCGGGGAAAGCGGCTCGAGGCAATGATGAAGTACTGGTGGTAGTTGGGAAACCCTTTGTCTCCTTACGACACGTGTCCTCGGTGTCAGAAGATCGAAGGCTGGGGGGCAGTTGATGGAACTTTTTTGAGATACTCCATGATAAAGACACGTGTCCTCGGTATTACCAAAACACTGTTGCTAAGATCAAGCACCATCGACGCAAAAGGTCCTCGCCCCCGAGGTACTCGTCGTATAGGATCATGCGTTCAGTATGTTTTTTTACAACCAACACGTGGCCTCGGTCTGATATNCCCACAATTAGGCACTCCCCCTGCACCAATCCCAAAGTCATCCACGTGGCATTATCACAACCGTCAGTTTACTTGACCATCCAACGGCCACGTGCAGATTTCAACTAACACATCGGCCTTCCCACCCAACTCTCAATTCAGTCAATTGACAATAAACCACTATTTAAACCACCAAGGTGGCTGAACAAACTCAGGAAATTCAGCTTTAGCACCAAAAGCTTGCAATTTCCTACCTCCTCCTCCTCCTCCCATTATCTCTCTTCCTCTTCATCAAAGCTTGATTAGATTTCATTCTCATTACTTTCCTATCCTAGATATATCGTATATATTTCTGTACAAGGGTTGTGATCCAACGAAGGTGAACTACATCGAAAAACCCGTCCTCAATTTATATAAAAGTTTATAAGTTTTGACACATTTTTTCTCAATCCATTTTGAGTTTTTCCTCATCTGGGGATACCCAAATCCTATATTGGCAATCTCTTTCTGGGTTCTTCTTTTTGACAGAGTGAATAATGGAATGCTCTAATGGAAGCAATAATGACCATGGAATCATGGAAGGACTTTGTGTCCAAGACCCATTGAATTGGGTTATGGCTGCAGAGTCACTAAAGGGTAGTCATTTAGATGAAGTCAAGCGCATGGTGGATGACTATCGGAAGGCGGTGGTCCGGCTAGGCGGCGAGACACTGACAATAGCTCAGGTGGCGGCGATAGCGATGCGTGACACGGAGGTGAAGGTGGAGCTGTCGGAAGCGGCGAGGGCTGGAGTGAAGGCCAGCAGTGACTGGGTGATGGAGAGCATGAACAAAGGGACTGATAGCTATGGTGTCACCACTGGTTTTGGTGCAACTTCTCATAGGAGGACCAAGCAAGGTGGAGCTCTGCAGAAGGAGCTTATTAGGTAAATTTTAATTAATTCATTAAATATTTAGCTAATGTCATAATATTATGGTTGTCTTGATGTGAGTTGGCTTAGACTTTTTTCATTGATTTGGATTTATTCTAGAGGAGTGGTAGGTGAATTACACAAAAAACAAAGAGCGGAGGGGGGAGCGTAGGTGGCTATTTCAAATACATTATTACATGCTAGTCAATAGAGTTAGGTTATGGGACTTTCGTGATATCGTCCTGAAAAATGAGGCGGACATTTGATTTTGATTTAGAAGATATAAAATTATTAATTAAAAAAATAATAAAGTGAAAGAACGCATTGAAATGCATTAATAATAGATTAAGAGTTGGAATCGGAGACCCAATGGTGATGCCACGTTAGGACCGAAGTGGGCCATTGTCTCCCTTAACATTTTTAGAATTATATTTTTTTAAGTGTTTTAGATTTTAACAAAAAATAAATAAATAAATAAGTTCATCCCTTATAGTTTTGCATATTTTCAATGTGATCCCCTAAAATCAACAATATTTTTTTCCCAATTCTTACCAAGAGTCTTATTTTGACCTTGGCCAAAAGTATGAGTACCTCTGTAGAAAAAAGTGACAAATAATATGATTAGCTAGCAATAAATCTTCCCAGCAATTTCATAGATTGCGACCTCCTACCAATATGTGTGTGTATGTATATATCCATTAAAAGGTTGAAAGCACACAGACAAGACAGGTTGAAAACAGCATAGGCTTAAGACAATTGGGATATTTTCTGAGGTTGAATGTGTTTTTTTTTGTTTAACAATTATGAATGTTTAGGTTAATTTTTACGCACTTCAGTTAATTTTCTCTTCGCTTCGGTCAATGACAAGTCATATACGCCGGGGGTAGAAAATTTATGAGGACTAGGGTCTTATTTGTTTCATTTGATAAGGACCATGGGATAAAGTTCACCCTATAACAAGGGCATCCCAACTTTGAATATACTATTCTAAAGAAGTGGCTTTGTTTTAATTTGTTCAAGTAGTACACAATTAAAAACAACTAAATGTTTTAAAATGGTCGAATCTCGATGGATACAGAGAACATAAGTATAATCCAAGAAAACAAAAATTTGAATACTGATATTATTTGATTAAACAAATTAGTATGGAGATTTGTTATTGGACCGGCAGGCTGAGCCAGTCCAATATTGACGCGTATGGGTAGGTTGGCCCTACAATACCATCTGACCTTCTCATTGTTTTTCGATTNATTTTGAATACTGATATTATTTGATTAAACAAATTAGTATGGAGATTTGTTATTGGACCGGAAGGCTGAGCCAGTCCAATATTGACGCGTATGGGTAGGTTGGCCCTACAATACCATCTGACCTTCTCATTGTTTTTCGATTAAAAAAAATTAGGAATTTCAATTATTTTAAGTGGCACCTTATATATATATATATTGTAGAGAGAGAGAGAGAGAGAGAAGGAGTGGAGTGGGGTAGTTTTGGGGTAATCCATATTTAGGCCATGTGTAATTATTCATTGGTTACATACATCACTAATGAGGTACATACATGAATCTAATGTCGGCTAATAAATGATAGCAAGTCAAATTGGTTTTAAATCTNATTAGGAATTTCAATTATTTTAAGTGGCACCTTATATATATATATATATATTGTAGAGAGAGAGAGAGAGAGAGAGAGAGAGAGAGAGAGAGAGAGAGAGAGAGAGAGAGAAGGAGTGGAGTGGGGTGGGGAGGGGTAGTTTTGGGGTAATCCATATTTAGGCCATGTGTAATTTTTCATTGGTTACATACATCACTAATGAGGTACATGAATCTAATGTCGGCTAATAAATGATAGCAAGTCAAATTGGTTTTAAATCTTCCCACCAACAGGTCTAAATTTGGGCAGTAAGTGGACAAAAGAAGTGAACACCCCCATTAATACCTTAGTTGGCAACAAAACGGTCCAATACTTAGGGGCCAACAACATTCGGTTCGTACTCTCAAATAAGGCAAACAGTGTGCTGATACTTTGGTTAACCTTGGAGTCCAACAGCTGTATCATTTTNCTTCCCACCAACAGGTCTAAATTTGGGCAGTAAGTGGACAAAAGAAGTGAACACCCCCATTAATACCTTAGTTGGCAACAAAACGGTCCAATACTTAGGGGCCAACAACATTCGGTTCGTACTCTCAAATAAGGCAAACAGTGTGCTGATACTTTGGTTAACCTTGGAGTCCAACAGCTGTATCATTTTGTTGAGCTTGATGCTCCCCTTCCCAGCTGGCCAATTTTTTTGTTAGCAAATATGGCTAGTGTGACTTTTTTAGAAACTTTGTCTAATTTTTCTTGTTATAACTCTCCGATATACCAAAAAAAAAAAAAACAGCATTCGGTTGAAACAGGAAAAAATCAAGAGTAAAATTGGATATGTCTTGTACTGATATGTATCATATGATTTGATATGTAAAATAATTGTTCTTACCTTGTTCATGAAATTTTGCTGCCCCAGATTCTTGAATGCCGGAATCTTCGGCAACGGGACGGAATCAAGCCACACGCTGCCTCACTCGGCCTCCAGGGCCTCCATGCTGGTGAGGATCAACACCCTCCTTCAAGGATACTCTGGCATTAGATTTGAGATCTTAGAAGCCATTACTAAGTTGCTTAACCACAACATCACCCCATGCTTGCCCCTCCGCGGAACGATCTCCGCCTCCGGTGACTTGGTCCCTTTATCCTACATTGCTGGGCTTCTAACGGGTAGGCCCAATTCCAAGGCAGTTGGGCCTAACGGAGAATCGCTTGATGCAGCTGAGGCCTTCCATCGGGCTGGTATCGATACTGGGTTTTTTGAGTTGCAGCCCAAAGAAGGCCTTGCACTAGTGAATGGTACTGCTGTCGGTTCTGGCTTGGCTTCTATGGTTCTTTTTGAGGCCAACATTCTTGCCATCCTCTCCGAAGTTTTATCGGCCCTTTTTGCAGAAGTCATGCAGGGAAAGCCCGAATTTACGGACCATTTGACCCATAAATTGAAGCATCATCCGGGTCAAATTGAGGCTGCAGCTATAATGGAACACATTTTGGATGGAAGTTCCTATGTTAAAGAGGCTCAGAAGTTACATGAAATGGACCCCTTGCAGAAGCCTAAACAAGACCGGTACGCCCTCCGAACGTCGCCCCAATGGCTAGGTCCACAGATCGAGGTCATCCGAGCGTCGACCAAATCCATCGAAAGAGAGATAAATTCTGTGAATGACAACCCGTTGATCGATGTTTCGAGGAATAAGGCCTTGCATGGAGGAAATTTCCAAGGTACCCCAATTGGTGTGTCAATGGACAATACCCGTCTAGCCATTGCTTCAATTGGAAAACTCATGTTTGCACAACTTTCTGAGCTTGTCAATGACTATTACAACAATGGATTGCCTTCAAATTTATCCGGGGGACGTAACCCGAGCTTGGATTATGGGTTCAAAGGTGCTGAAATCGCAATGGCAGCATATTGCTCCGAGCTCCAATTTCTAGCCAATCCTGTGACGAACCACGTGCAAAGTGCAGAGCAACATAACCAAGATGTGAACTCATTGGGCTTAATTTCTTCGAGGAAAACAGCCGAGGCCGTGGACATATTGAAGCTCATGTCTACCACTTTCTTGGTTGCTTTGTGCCAAGCCATTGACTTGAGGCACTTGGAGGAAAATTTGAAGGCGTCAGTGAAGAACACGGTTAGCCAAGTGGCCAAGAAAGTCCTGACCATGGGCAACAACGGTGAGCTTCACCCATCCAGGTTTTCCGAGAAAGACTTGCTCAAAGTCGTGGATAGGGAATACGTCTTTGCCTATGTTGACGACCCTTGCAGTGCTACATACCCATTGATGCAAAAACTAAGACAAGTCCTAGTAGAGCACGCGCTGATCAATGCTGAAACGGAGAAGAACCCGAGCACTTCAATATTCCAAAAGATCGGTACGTTTGAGGATGAACTAAAGGCCATTTTGCCCAAAGAAATTGAGAGCGCTCGTTGTGATCTTGAGAGTGGCAAGCCAGCCATTCCCAATAGGATCAAGGAGTGCAGATCAAACCCATTGTACAAGTTCGTGAGGGAAGAGTTGGGGGCTAGTTTTCTGACCGGTGAGAAGGTCCAATCGCCCGGAGAAGAGTTTGATAAGGTGTTCTCGGCAATGTGTGCTGGGAAGTTGATTGATCCATTGCTGGATTGTTTGAAGGAGTGGAATGGTGCTCCTCTTCCTCTATGTTAATTGGAATGTTTTTATAACTGTACTTGGACATTCCGTTTCTTGTTCTTTAAGTTTGCATACTCTCATTTACTATGTTTTTTGTATCNGTTAATTGGAATGTTTTTATAACTGTACTTGGACATTCCGTTTCTTGTTCTTTAAGTTTGCATACTCTCATTTACTATGTTTTTTGTATCTGAAAAATGTCATTTAATGTTTTTAATGATGTTTTATTAGTTTTGTCTATCAATTTTATTCTTAAAATATTAAATTAATGTTTAAATAGTTCATATACAGATAGATTGTTAAGTTTTTGACGAAATCACATGTTGATCACGTGATACCATCTGATAGCATGACACACAATTACTTCTACCAAAAAAATTTAACAAATTAACTAATTAGGGATTAAAATAACATGAATTTAAATTTTAGAAACCAAATTGACAAAATTAATACAATAAGAACTAAACTAACAAAACGAAAATACTTTAAAGACTAACCTTTGTTTTTTTGGGGCACAATCTAGTACTCTATTATATGTTACATTCACTTTCTTTAGCATGATTCAAGTTCGTTCGTCACTTATAAGTCAGGATTAAACGTTTTGGTCAAATAAAAGAGGTTGCCAAGGTTGTCCAAAGATTAGTGAAATGTACCTGAAATCATGAAATGGGAATGATTTATTCTTTTCAATCAAGTTAGGCTTACAGAAAATTAATTGAGTAACATTACATACATTTGATTCGTGCTAAATAAGACATTATCCTTATATCCATAAAAGACGAGAGAATTGCATAATGACCTATTTTTCTCAGATTTGAACTGAAAGTATATGTCCTGACAATGCATACCAACTTTCTTGGATATCAAGAATCGAACTTTGTATTGGTCTCACCATCATGTGGGTTGGGTGTGTGTAGAGCATAGTTAGCTCCAAAAATACCATATTGGGTATTTGAGATTTCTTATGTTTCCTCTGTTCTTTCATTTGGTTACTATAAATGACTCAAATCGATGAATTTCCAAACTTAAGCAAATTTAGAAGTTGGAAATACAAGACATAATTTTTAGGGTAAATTACAGTCACACTGCCTGAGTTTTGTCACTTAATTAGAAAGATTCCCTCAGGTATGAAATATTACACTGACACCCCTTATCGAAAACAGTCACTAATAGTCCTAACGGAAGTTATAAAATGACTGTTGTACCCTTTGATGTAAAGAAAAAAAAATCAACTTAACCCAAAGTACAGTGTACCATACCCGAATCTAACTCGACCCAACCCTGATACCCATAAATATCTTCCCTCTTTATTTCTCTTTGTCGTTCCCTCTGGTAAACAAGCTCCCAGCAAACACCCCGCCCCCCTGCCTGCCCAAGAACAACAAAAATCACTCAGACCATAAAAACCTACATGGCTAAACTTTATCTCTTGCTAATACTATATATATGTATAGAGAACAAGAGAGCGAAAGAGAGAGTCAAATCGTTCTTTGTGTATTTGTTCTTTTTCACCCTTTTTTCTCAAATTCATTATGTGTTGAATTGTCAGTGATGGTGTTTATGGGGTTTGTGATGGTGTTAATTTTTCACTTGTTTATTTGTTGAATTCTACTGTTTGTGATTTGTTAATTTATAGATAAATCACAAATTACATTCAATGGGTGTTTGATATTGTTTTGGGTAGAAAATTTTGTTTGCAATGACTGGTTGCTTGATCTTGTGGTTTAACTTGTGTTGAAAAACGGAAATGGGGGTGTTGGTGGGTTTTGTAATAGGTAGTGGCAATGGTTTCTGTCACAGTGGTGGCGGTGGTTTCTATCAAAGGTGGATATGTGGGTTACTGGTGGTTTTTAGGTGCTGGATTGGCAGTGATTTTGGGAGCAGAAAATGTATGGTGATTGCTAGAAATCATTTTAGAGGTTGGAAATTGCACGGAGTAGCTAGAAATTGCATGGAAATTGCTGGCAGTGGTTTGGGTTTGGGGGTTGGAAGTGGCATGGGAGATGTTTTGGCCCGATGTTATCGGAATCGGACCGGTCATCGAACCGGCTAGGAGATTGAATTAATGGTTCACTAGTTCAACCAGTCGGACCGGTTATGTAATACAAAATATATATATAATAATTATAAAGTATCATAATTTAAATATAAAATATGTCTAAAATGTATACAATTTATCATATGACAACAAAAATCAACAATAAAATATCAAATCCCTCATCTGTGATGATACTCTCAATAAAATATCATTAATTTGGTTTGTAGATAGATATCTACCGGGCCAACTTGAGAAAGAGTAATCAAACCATAACTCTCTAGTCTCCATTGTTTATCTCTGTCAACCCAACAACAACTCACTCACAAATTCACTCCAATCCCTCATAGAGAAAAGCACTGTACATATAGAAACTTCACAAACAAGCATAAAGATGGTAAATATTGCTATCGCTGTCGTTGATCCGGGGTTGTTGCTCCTTAGTTGTTGATCGGTGGTTATTGTTTCCTGGTATGTTGATCGCTAGTTACTGCTCGTTGGTAGCCTGGAGTGATGGTTTTTGCAATTTAGGGCAGAAGAATGGCCCAAATAAAAACAATTGCAATTTATTTGGTTTGTGTTTCTGGAGTGATGGCTTCTACGGTATGTTTTCAAACCGTCCGATTTTTAAAAAATCGCCGATTCGCGATTTTTTTAAAAAATCTGCCGGTTGTTTGATTTTTAGCTGATTTTCTTCTTCAATTAAGGAACCGGACCGGTTAAGGTCCCGATTCATGGTTGAACCAGTCCGACTGGTTCTGATAATATTGATTTTGGCAGGAATTATTTTCTTTTGGGTGTGATTTACCTTGGTTTAATGGTTTGACCAAAAAAGGAAAAAAAATTGTTCTATAATGGATGAAAATGTTTTGTCTCGTGGGTCGTGCAATGGGTAATTTGGAAATTTTTTGTTAATACTAAGTTAACATCACATAACTTTTTGACAGTGTTTTAAACAAACTCGGGCAATAGGGGTGTAAGTGTAGCAAGCGTACAAACTTGAAGGGATTTCAATGTTATTTGTCAAATATGAGGGTGTTTATTTGATTAAGTGACAAATTTTAGGGGACATGAATGTAATTTATCCTAATTTTTAAAATTGAATTCAAAATTAAGATAAAATTTGGGGACTATTTTGATAATTTACTTCAAAAAAAATCAATTGAAAGTCAACCTCTTATGTGTCGTTAGACTCATTACCACCCAAATTAGGCCTTTGAATAATCTCCACAAAAGTGCAACCATCATGAGAATGCTTTAGGTTCTATTATATTAAGTACTATATATTATATATGTGCGAAATTTAATATTAGACCAATAGAAAAATGAGAGTGTCTTAATATATTACATATGGATCTATTACCTTAGATTTAAGCTTATAAGTTTTAGACGTGTATATTGAGCGTTAAATTATTACATTCTTGATAGGAATGACAGTGAACCGAAGCAGTGATGAGAGTAATAGTCTCCACTTTCATACTTGTTTTAAAAATATCCATTTATCTTGGTTCACCCGTTAGTAAGGAAAAATTTAACCACCGTCCATAATAATTAACTTATATGATTTTAAGAAAAAATTTAGAAAACCTCACAAATGGAAGAAACCCCATTATATAATAAATGAATAAAAAAAAAGAGAAAGATAAGTGTTTTTTTTTTGTAAAAAGAAGAGCGTGTGTGTGTGAGTGGGATGATGACTGCAATTTATATATATATATATCACGGGTTTAACAAGGTGAGATAAGGTGGGAGTAAGAATAAATTTTAATCTATTTTCGCACGAGTTTATAAGATATTTTTATATATGTTTATCATATAATACATAACTATTCCTAATCCAAGCAAGATAAATTTGAATGAATACTAATTTTTCTTTGATTCACTGTGATTTCTAATTCCCGACTTAAATTTTAAGGTTTTTAATAACATTACGAAAAAGAAAAAAATTAAAAACAGGGGCTTGCAAAAGTGGAAGTTGAGCTGTTACGGCAATGGCCGCTACATGTCACTCTCTGCTAAGCTATGCCCTGCATGCCTTCTACGTGTACCTCAAATCTTCCATGGTCAAACTGGATCTTTTCTACTACGTGTACATTAAATCCAGTAGTACCCTACACATGCCACCATAACCACCCCAATAGCCCATGAGTTTCACCAGTCCAGCATCCCCTAATACGTAGACTTCTCAAAGCTCTCTCTCTCTCACACACACAAACCGAGTCACCCAGTATGGCACTCTCCACCCTTCTCCTCCATCCCTGCCCTCCTCTCCTTCCCAGCAAACCCATAACACAAAGCAACAGAAATGGCTGGACCAACAACAACAGAGTAATCTTCACTTCCCTCCCCTGCACCAACAGCCTCAGAACCAACACTACCGCTCAATACCCAAACAAACCCTCTGATACTCTCTCCAAAGAGTACAAGCTCGCATGGCAAGACGAATTCAAAAGAGCATTCCCATTTGAACCATCCTCTCAGGACTGGGAGGCTGGTGATCAGGAAAATGAAAAATTCCAAGATTTGGTCGATAAACGGTGCGTCGACAATGTCAGGATGCTCATTGTTGACGCGGTGCAGAATTCGAAAGCTGGGCACCCAGGAATGGCGCTTGGGATGGCTGAAATTGGGTATTTCTTATACCGTCATGTCATGAGGAACAATCCGAGAAATCCCAAGTGGTTCAACAGAGACAGATTCGTTTTGAGCGCAGGGCATGGGTGTTTGCTTCAGTATGTTTGCCTTCATCTTGCTGGGTTTCGATCGGTTCAGGTAAAATTTTACAGAGAATTAAATTCTAGACTCGCCCTAAAAATTCTTAACTGTGAAGCATATGTTCAAACACCTAATGGAACATTAGACATGTCAGTTTATAATTGGTATAATTTGATCTATTCTGTATGTTTCAAGAAAGAAGTTTATAAGTGAACTGCTTAAACATTTGAGGGATGAAATTGATACAGTTTCAAATTTCTGGGTTTTGATTATTACAAAGTAAACTTCAAGTATTAAAAATGTTTCCCTTTGGAACTGATACATGTATGAATGTACTTACTGGTAGTTGCTCTTTATNATAACACAAAGCAACAGAAATGGCTGGACCAACAACAACAGAGTAATCTTCACTTCCCTCCCCTGCACCAACAGCCTCAGAACCAACACTACCGCTCAATACCCAAACAAACCCTCTGATACTCTCTCCAAAGAGTACAAGCTCGCATGGCAAGACGAATTCAAAAGAGCATTCCCATTTGAACCATCCTCTCAGGACTGGGAGGCTGGTGATCAGGAAAATGAAAAATTCCAAGATTTGGTCGATAAACGGTGCGTCGACAATGTCAGGATGCTCATTGTTGACGCGGTGCAGAATTCGAAAGCTGGGCACCCAGGAATGGCGCTTGGGATGGCTGAAATTGGGTATTTCTTATACCGTCATGTCATGAGGAACAATCCGAGAAATCCCAAGTGGTTCAACAGAGACAGATTCGTTTTGAGCGCAGGGCATGGGTGTTTGCTTCAGTATGTTTGCCTTCATCTTGCTGGGTTTCGATCGGTTCAGGTAAAATTTTACAGAGAATTAAATTCTAGACTCGCCCTAAAAATTCTTAACTGTGAAGCATATGTTCAAACACCTAATGGAACATTAGACATGTCAGTTTATAATTGGTATAATTTGATCTATTCTGTATGTTTCAAGAAAGAAGTTTATAAGTGAACTGCTTAAACATTTGAGGGATGAAATTGATACAGTTTCAAATTTCTGGGTTTTGATTATTACAAAGTAAACTTCAAGTATTAAAAATGTTTCCCTTTGGAACTGATACATGTATGAATGTACTTACTGGTAGTTGCTCTTTATGATCATGTCATGTTGTACGTTTTCCAATTCTAATTTCAATCTAAGAGACTATCGATTGACAGAGATAAGAATTGGAACTTTAAGGTACACAATAAATAAAGGAGAGTAGGCCTGAGAGAAATATGCTGTAAAAGTTAGTGATAGACTCGATCATGTATGGCATTATACAGAACACAAGTATTGGAAAACTAATCTGTCTCTCTTGTATGAGTTTGACAAAGGCTACAATAGACTGATAACAAAAACACAAATCCGCCACACATTTACCTCCCAAGTTTCAATTAGAGTTTCTGCTTCATTATGGCCAGATTTCCATGCTGTAAATAGAATGAAAGCAGATTAATAACCATGTTTCAAAGACATTTATCCAGAGGAATTGAAAATTTGTTTAAGACGTGTCACCATTGTTCCTAAATCTTCTCAATTCCTCTGTGAACCTGCAGCGCCTGACGTTAGAGTGCATGACCTGTTGTTCTCTCAAATCAATCAAATTTCATGCTAGTCTCTGAATGTGCCATTCTCTTGAATATGTATTCCACTACCCATAAGCTGTCATATACACGGAAGACTTGACAATTACGTGCATCTTAGTAATCTACAAATAACAGAACATGTGTATTATTGAGAGGGCCTTTTCTTCTAAATTAAAGCATTTGGCATGTCTATTTGTCCATACTGATATGACTGGATTAGTAAATGTTGGCAAGACTGTTGGTTAAATTATATAAGTATTTTTCTATCCAGATTGAAGACCTCAAATGCTTGTGCAAGCTTGGTAGTCGGACCCCAGGTCACCCCGAGAACATTGTCACAGATGGAATTGAAGTCACAACAGGTACAGTTTTTTCAGAGTGTCCGAGGAAACTTGCTTGAATAAGGTGGATAAACTATATCAGAGGATTAGTTTTATTTGTTGGTGTGAAAGTATATATCACTGAGCACAAACTAACGACTGTATGATATTCCACTGAGGAAGATGTATTATATGGATGTAAATATAGTAATACTATAATAGATAACAACTGAGTACCTAGGAATCCCGGGACGGGGTAGGTATATGCAGAGGCTATTTTAAAAGTCAAATCTCTGCCATCAAAATAGGATCCAGTATTTTCATTTCAAATAATCAAGTTTGTTTCTCCTTTCTATCTGGTATATCGATGTAATGAATTCTACCCAACTCATATACACATCAACTGTTTTTTTGTATAACACCAGGTCCACTTGGACAAGGTGTAGCCAATGCTGTTGGTCTTGCCCTAGCAGAAGCTCACTTAGCTGCCAGATTTAATAAACCTGATGTCACCATTCTTGATCACCAGACGTAAGTGGACCAACTAGTTCTCTCCAATTGTGAATATAATGTATAAGTTCAGCCTTCAACGGTTACTTTTTCGTTGTTCTTAGATATTGCATCATGGGTGATGGTTGTGCCATGGAGGGCATATCACATGAAGCTGCATCTTTGGCTGCACATTGGAAGCTCAACAAGCTTACACTAATTTATGATGATAACCACAATACCATTGATGGTTCCACCAACCTGGTATTCTCTGAAGATATATCAGCAAGATTTGCAGCTCTTGGTTGGAATACAGTGACAGTGGATGACCCATATAGCAACATGAGATCCTTTGAAAATGCACTTCTTTCTGCTTTTAGTGAGACCGAGAAACCAACCTTCATCAGGGTATGTAGGTCGAACTCAAACAACAATTTTAGGTTGTAATCACCACTGGTAGCTATTCTTTTCTTGTTCTTCCAGTTCCTTTACATCCAAAAGGCATTGCTATCTTGTCCCCTTAAAACAATGTCTTTTGGGGACTTGAGTGCTCTGGTTTTGGATGAATCGTATAGTTATCTGTCCCATTATGACAACTCATATTGTCACTTCATATTTTCCAGGTGAAAACTTGTATTGGAAAATTGTCAACAAAGGAGGGAACCTCCAAAGCCCATCATGGCACTTTTGATGAAGATGATGCGAAGCAAATGAGACAGAAAATTAATTGGAATGATCGAGAGCCATTCCATGTCATTCCTATGGTCTATGAGTATGGATTACTGCAACTGGGATTTAGATTTTGAAAGAGGTTCTGGTGATAAGGCTTTTGTGTACTCTCCTGCAGGGAAATGCAAGTTCAGGCAGACCATGGAGAAACACTGGAGGAGGAGTGGCACTCCAAATTATACTATTTCCGAAGCAAGTATCCCCAAGAAGCTGCAGAATTTTCTGTTCTCCTCAACGGTGGTATGCTTCCGGGCTGGGAAAACTCGTTACCGGTATGTCAGTAGTGAAATATACATGTTTTAACAAGATCNTCATGGGTGATGGTTGTGCCATGGAGGGCATATCACATGAAGCTGCATCTTTGGCTGCACATTGGAAGCTCAACAAGCTTACACTAATTTATGATGATAACCACAATACCATTGATGGTTCCACCAACCTGGTATTCTCTGAAGATATATCAGCAAGATTTGCAGCTCTTGGTTGGAATACAGTGACAGTGGATGACCCATATAGCAACATGAGATCCTTTGAAAATGCACTTCTTTCTGCTTTTAGTGAGACCGAGAAACCAACCTTCATCAGGGTATGTAGGTCGAACTCAAACAACAATTTTAGGTTGTAATCACCACTGGTAGCTATTCTTTTCTTGTTCTTCCAGTTCCTTTACATCCAAAAGGCATTGCTATCTTGTCCCCTTAAAACAATGTCTTTTGGGGACTTGAGTGCTCTGGTTTTGGATGAATCGTATAGTTATCTGTCCCATTATGACAACTCATATTGTCACTTCATATTTTCCAGGTGAAAACTTGTATTGGAAAATTGTCAACAAAGGAGGGAACCTCCAAAGCCCATCATGGCACTTTTGATGAAGATGATGCGAAGCAAATGAGACAGAAAATTAATTGGAATGATCGAGAGCCATTCCATGTCATTCCTATGGTCTATGAGTATGGATTACTGCAACTGGGATTTAGATTTTGAAAGAGGTTCTGGTGATAAGGCTTTTGTGTACTCTCCTGCAGGGAAATGCAAGTTCAGGCAGACCATGGAGAAACACTGGAGGAGGAGTGGCACTCCAAATTATACTATTTCCGAAGCAAGTATCCCCAAGAAGCTGCAGAATTTTCTGTTCTCCTCAACGGTGGTATGCTTCCGGGCTGGGAAAACTCGTTACCGGTATGTCAGTAGTGAAATATACATGTTTTAACAAGATCATTGTACCTGCTTGGTGTGTCGTCTATGTAGTTTTGAAATACTTAAACGTGGTCTTTATTAGAAGGCTTTTGAAGGCAAGAAAACAATTGGAAAAATTTATTTCTTGAGTTCCATTGTCCCTACCCAACTGTGCTCCCAAATATAAGCTTAACAATTTCGAAGAAATAATTTGGGTGACATTTGTTGAAGTTATTTAATATGCCTTTGTGTTTCCTCTATCTTGATGCTTGGGGTTATGGTATTTTCTTATTAAATTTTTTCTCTTATTTTCCTTCTTTTCTCTTATTTTTTTTTTAAAAAAAAATTCCTGCTAATACTATTCTCAATGCATATGCACAAAGAATGTGCAATCTGATTTTGGTAACAAATATGTTTCAACAGAAGTGGTCTATATCTGATCCGGTAGATGCCACTAGAGGATATTCTGAGAAATGCCTGAACAATCTTGTTAAGGTGCTACCAGGGCTGATTGGTGGAAGTGCAGATCTTGCAACATCTAATAAAGTCTATCTCCATGGCTGTGAAGATTTTCAGAGGCCCGATTCTCCATGGGGACGCAACATTAGGTATGGAGTTCGAGAGCATGCAATGGGTGGAATTTCAAATGGTGTAGCCTTGCATGGAGGCGGTTTGATACCATTTGCGGCCACTTTTCTTATTTTCTCCGACTACATGAAGAACTCAATCCGATTGTCTGCCCTCAGTCATGCTGGAGTCATTTACATTATGACCCATGACTCTATCGGTCTAGGAGAAGATGGACCAACTCACCAACCAGTAGAGCAGCTAGCTGGCCTACGAGCAGTGCCACGTTTATTGGTTTTCCGACCAGCTGATGGCAATGAAACTGCTGGAGCCTATAAGGTGGCTGTTGCAAACCGAGATGTACCTAGTCTTATTGCATTATCGAGGCAAAAGTTGGCGGCCAACTTGGAAGGAACATCAGCAGATGCTGTTGAAAGGGGAGGCTATATAGTAAGTGACAACTCTGGTGACAAACTGCCAGAGTTGATACTCATCGGTACTGGATCAGAACTTTGTCTCTGTGAAGGGAGCGCCAACACCCTAAGAAAAGAAGGGAGGAGAGTGAGGGTGGTTTCACTTGTGTGTTGGAGGCTTTTTGACCGGCAGCCTAGGGAGTATAAGGAGCTTGTATTGCCATCGAGTGTTTCGAGGCGTGTGAGTGTTGAGGCAGGCTCTCCAATTGGTTGGAGGGAGTATGTGGGAGGTGGTGGGGTGCTGGTTGGGGTGGAGGACTTTGGGGCCAGTGGAGCTTATTTGGATACATTTCAGAAGTTCGGTTTCACGGAGGAGAATGTAACAAGGATTGCAAAGTCATTGCTCTGCCAGTGAGGCTTGTTTTACGAAGATGCAAATTGGTGTTATTGATTCAACCTCAAGACCCATTTTCTTGTAAGTACCACATCTCTTTGGGTATTTGTTGACTAAATTCCATTTAAATTTGACATCAAGTACTGAAATCTCTCAAAGTCAAAGGTATTAGCTGTTCCTAAGATCATGTTACCAGTTTTCTATGTTGTCAATTTCCAAAACCTGTGGATTGTTGAGAGGTAGTTCCAAAACCTGTGGATTGCCATAAGCTGACAAGGAGGGCTGTCAATTTTACATAGTAACACCGAACGACATGACACAAGCCCAAAAATGGTACGACCAATTAACAAGGGTGCCCGAACACGACATCGACAAAAGAATACCATAATCAATGACTGGTTATTGCATTGCATTATATTACATTGTTTCTTTAAGAATTTACAAAAAATCATAAAAAAAAAAAAAAGAGAGAGCCTGTAATAATGAAAAACTTCTACAGCCTCAAAAACAAATAAATAGGAGATCTCTAGGAAAATAACTCCTGGCCCCTTATTTTCTCCCTGTTGTGCTCCATACCACTGCTATATTAGGAACTAGTCTTATTTACCTCATATTCAACATTATATATGATCATAAATAGGTAAGAAGTAAGAACCTCTTCTTTCTGCATGCACCCATAATCTTCATCAACACCGAAGCCAAATATGGTTGCCAAGAAAACCACCGCCACCGTCACTGCGCTTCTCATCTGTGCTTTGGTTGTCATGCTGTGCACCAACACGGGCGAGGCACTTTCGGATTGCGCTAAAGACTGCATGCCTACTTGTATGAAGGTCAACGGTGCCACCATCCATGCCTGTGAGGTTGGTTGCGACCAGTATTGCCAGCAGATTGGCGGTGGCCATATGCCCAAAACTGGCAAGTGAGTGAGAATTTTTTATGGATCAAGGAGGACAAGGTTCAGTTTTTGAGGCCTATAAGTTCTTGTTATGAAATGGTCTCTTTGGGCAAGGATTTGATAAAAAGTCTTGTTTTTAGATAAAAGTAGTTTGAGGAAATGTCGTTATAAATTATTATGTAAACACTAATGTTTTTGGGACTTAAAGTATTGTGACCATTTGATTGACAGTGGAGTGACGATCTAATGACCATAGTCATTAAGTCCCTCAAATCATATGTTCTAATAACANTGTTTATGGATCAAGGAGGACAAGGTTAAGTTTTTGAGGCCTATAAGTTCTTGTTATGAAACGGTCTCTTTGGGCAAGGATTTGATAAAAAGTCTTGTTTTTAGATAAAAGTAGTTTGAGGAAATGTCGTTATAAATTATTATGTAAACACTAATGTTTTTGGGACTTAAAGTATTGTGACCATTTGATTGACAGTGGAGTGACGATCTAATGACCATAGTCATTAAGTCCCTCAAATCATATGTTCTAATAACATTGCTCGTTTGTTAATAACCTAATACAGTAATNGTAAACACTAATGTTTTGGGGACTTAAAGTATTGTGACCATTTGATTGACAGTGGAGTGACGATCTAATGACCATAGTCATTAAGTCCCTCAAATCATATGTTCTAATAACATTGCTCGTTTGTTAATAACCTAATACAGTAATAAGGCAAGGAAGAATTTAGAGTTTACCATTTCTTTCTTTGTCTTCTTTATGTAGTAATTGTTGCAATTGTTCTATTTGTAAGGATGGATCTAGTAGGAGAAGGAGAAGGAGAAGCCAGGTCATGTAACTCTTAAAAATATTGTTATTATTTTTAAAGAGATTAAATTCATTAGGGAATGTATGACTAAGAAAGCTGCGCAACAAGAAAAATTTCCATTGAGTCAATCATCTATCGACTTTGAATCAATGTTCAAGGAAGGCCTAATAAGTAGATTAAAATATAATAATGAGATAGGAAAATTATTCATGAGTGTTATTTTTTTTTTTTACAAAAAATTTATAAAGTCATATAATTGTTGTTTTATATTAATNAAGGAATGTATGACTAAGAAAGCTGCGCAACAAGAAAAATTTCCATCGAGTCAATCATCTATCGACTTTGAATCAATGTTCAAGGAAGGCCTAATAAGTAGATTAAAATATAATAATGAGATAGGAAAATTATTCATGAGTGTTATTTTTTTTTTTTACAAAAAATTTATAAAGTCATATAATTGTTGTCTTATATTAATGAAGTTCTATTTTTGATATTTTATGTCAATAAAGTCTTAAACTTTATAAATATTATATTTGTTCCAATTTTATCCTTCTGTTGAAAAATATTGACACTTAAGGTATTGAGACTATAACAATAATTTTTTTTAATTCATAAATATCTTGACTTCTTGTGTTTTAAATTGCGTGTTGCCTACTTGCTAATTTTATAAAATATTGAATTACTAATTATTTTTAAAGTTGCCATTATAAGATGCATTAGAAGGGTGTATTTTCGATGGACAAACACTTCACGACGAGAATTCTGGTATTTTGTGCTTTAAACTTGCGGTTGAAGTGAACAAAAATTTGAGTTATCTATATGTCTATAAAAGTAACTTCAATAAAAAGTCATCGTTATTTCTATAAAAAAAAAAGATGTAAATTAACTTATATTAAAAATGGATGACAACTGATCCATTGCGAAAAACATAACAATTGATATACAACAATGATGTATTTCTTAATTCTAACAATTTTTCAACAAGGGAAAGTGAGAATAAAATGACAAAACAATTCTACTAAAAGAACTAATTATTTTAAATTCAATCTAAATTTATACAATAATTCGAAACCACAAANGCGAAAAACATAACAATTGATATACAACAATGATGTATTTCTTAATTCTAACAATTTTTCAACGAGGGAAAGTGAGAATAAAATGACAAAACAATTCTACTAAAAGAACTAATTATTTTAAATTCAATCTAAATTTATACAATAATTCGAAACCACAAAGACAACGTATCAATAGAATCTATAATACATAAATAATACCTTAGTCAAAGTAAAAATTATGAGTATCAATAGAATCTATAATACATAAATAATACCTTAGTCAAAGTAAAAATTATGAGTAGCTTGAGCAATGGAACAAATGACAATTATAAAGGGTCGAGCGAGGACGGAATTCTTTCTTTCGGGAGGAAGGGAGCACTTGACATTCATTTTACAGGGGCAGGTGAACCAAGGAAGAGCTGACTTANGCGAGGACGGAATTCTTTCTTTCGGGAGGAGGGGAGCACTTGACATTCATTTTACAGGGGCAGGTGAACCAAGGAAGAGCTGACTTACGGAGCTTACTCATCAAGGGGTGGGGGGTTAGTTTGGGGGCCCAGGGGCCTTGTCTCCGCACATCTCCCCCAGAGTCATTCACTATGTCGTCGCCGTAGTTGAGCAAGGGAGCAAATAACAATTGAAAAACCTCCGCTATGTCATCGATGTTGTGATACCTACAAAAGATGGAAGAGTTTTGGTAACTAAGAGTAGTGGACAAAATTGAAATATAACGGAATTAGAACTTTATTTGCATATAATATCAGAAATAAGACTTTATTGATATAAAATAAAAATGATATAACTAAATGAATTTTTGTGAAAAAATGTAATATTTATTGGTAATTTTTTCAACATACAAAAGAGTAGTTGTGAAACTTGTAGAATTATGACTCAAATACAACATATTACATAGCTAAATTATTCACCATGAATAGTCTCACACTTGATTTATCTTAGTGGTATAATAAGCATGCCCGTGATACATATCCCAACTTACACATCGCATGACCACGATCACATATCAAAAAGCACGTGTGCAAGTGCACTACGTACATGTACTAATCAGTTCAAAATTAATTATCCTAAAATTTAATGTGAAAACGAGCCTAACAAAAACTCACAAAATTTCTGATCAATCAAGACATAACAAATGGGAATACAAATTTCAAGATTTCAAAAAACAAACTTTTTACAAAAAAGTTCAAGAATGAAAACATATTATGAAATAATTCACTTTAATTAATCCATGCCATGCCAACCCTCTCGAAAATCAAACTCCAATAGCTGTTTGATCTCCCGGTCAAATTAAGTGCATGAGATAAACCAAACTGCTAAGCAATCTTCTCTTGATACAGCTGGTTTGACTTCATAGACAACTTTTGAAAAACATGGAGAGGTCTGTCAATCATTCATTCTTTTTCTCTCTCCTCTTTTTCTAATCAAACCTTGAATCTTTCCCCTCTTATTTCTTCAGATTTTGTTAGTACAGAATATTATAATTTATATATAGTGGGTGAAACTCTATCCTACAATCAATCTTCATTACAATAGAATATCATTGCAATACTTACACAATACAGAACTATGTCATAAAACATTACATCCATCTTCATCAGCTTCACTACTCAACGACCATTTGGAAGCTCTCTATCAATACCATCTAGAGAGGTGTCACTCTTATAGCAACAAATGAGGCTCATGAGCAACAAAGAAACAGCCAAACGGACTCCCAACATTCTTGCCTTTCCTCTGCATCTCTCTAGCTATGTCTACAAGTTTATTACACGGTGCAAGAAACTGGGTACTATTTGTAGTGTTCGGATGCACATAGGTGGATCAACCCAAGCAAAATGACCACATGGACCACCTTCCTCCAAGTACAAAATACAAATATTTGTTTAAACTGTGCAAAGAAACTTCCTAAAAAGAATTTTTGGAAAAAGAAAAAAAATCCAACTGAAATAGAACAACCATAATCCATAATGTGTGAAAATGGATGAGTGACAATGGTCTGAATGCACATCTACTTTCATTAATTGCAAGAATATTGTTAAATTTCTAATGGAATGCAAAGTTATACCGCATAATTATCGCAAACCCTAAACCTCCTCTCAACGTTTAGGTATGTCCATGAGGTCTTTATCGCTGCCCCTTGACCATAGTAGTAGACTTTTTCTATTTTCAGCTCTGTTTGCTATCTTTTTCTTCCTCTTATACGAAGACGAAGGTAAGCCAACATCGATT